TTTCTGTCGTTTTATATATAAGAAGAGGATCAGAAGTAAATGATAGCTCTGAACTAGGCAGCTATACTCTTGCTAACTTTTGCAAATTCAAAGGAGATAAGAAATTTGAAACTGATAACTGAAATTTACCTTTAATTTGATCAAGCAAGCAAAACATAAGTGGTCAGTGCTTACAGTGTTCATTACCATTCTAGCAATTGGTTATACAGAGAGAAGAGAACACAGCTCCTGCCATCAAGGAAATCACTTTTTATTTGGTGAGATAAGGCAAACGTGCAAACCACAATGAGGGAATGATAGAAACTAGATCATAATTAACAGCTTAATTATGGAACATAAGCTGTGAATATTATAGGAAGAGAGAGGAGGGTGGGCTGCAGGGGAGAGGATAGCCCCTTAATGTAGGTGGGACTTGAGTAACACCTTATATGATGAAAATAAGATTGGATGAGGGGGTCCCATGTGGATTATGTTGTTCCAAGTTTTATTACTGTGATAATCTAACTATGTTGTGAAGTTACCGGAATAAATTACCTCTCACTTCAGAATTGAGTTATACAGAGGATTTCAGGAGGGACTTTATGATTCCAGCTAAATATGACCTGGATTATTGCAGAAAAAGAAGTTTTATGGTAATAAGACACATCAATTCTATAGTTGAAGTTACTCTTTATATGTGAAAGAGATATACAATGAAAATATAATTAATGTTAAGTTGGTTCTAGTTATGTAGGTCATGCAAATCCCCTTTTATTAAAACTAAGCAGTGGAGGATGGGAGTGGGTAAAAGAAAGAAGCATAAAAATTTCTACTCATATTTAGAGAGAAATAATTAGATTTGTTTCCTCCTTTATTTCATTTGTTCACTCATTGATTGAAGCAAGGACTTTGGAAAACTGAGTTATCTACTAAAGCATCATTTAAAATAAGACAGTCGGTTGTAGGATATAAACTAAAATGACTATTTTACAATTTACTAGATAAAAATAACTTAGAAAAACAAATCATAATATAGCATAGAAAAAAGCCAGTATGTTGATTAACAAAATAAATATAAAATGTGTTATAAAGTCTGTATGTAAGAGTAGTTAATTTAAAAAATAAAAATATAGTAACAGCTGTATTCTATATAATTGACCAATAAACTGGGTCAAAATATCCCACTATATGCAATCTATATAGACACATATAAAACATATTGTTCCGAAAATGTAAGAAATGTTAGGAAGATGGCCAGGCAAATACAAGCAAAGGAACACATAAGTGATGGTATTTATTTAAAGCAAAATAGAGCCAAAAGCAAGGGGCATTGACAAGTAGAGTCATATTATGTTGATAGAAAGTAAAATCTACAGTGAAGACATAAGTGTGATAGATGTATATACATATGTGGCTAATTACATGTGATTGTGACTTATGAAATAATTGTTTAAAAATATTCTTAAAAGTAGACAGCATAGCAAACAGATTATTACTTGCCTCAATGATTTCATGAGTAATGTTATGTTATCACTTCATTCCATAAAATATTTTGTTAAGTAAAAAGACCAGGTTATAAAAGGGTATATTTATTGTATGACAGAAACTGATCAATGGATCACCGCACTCATTTCTTTCTTCCTGAGCACACAAATAAACAATATTTTCCAATCTAACTTGCACTTGGATGGAACCATGTGGATTAGTTCTTTTTAAAAAAAAATGGTTTATTTATGCATACAAGAACTGGGGTAAAAGCCAGAGATATGGGGGGGGGCGGGTGAGAGGACTCACCAGAGACAGAGTGGGGAACAGAGCAGGCAGACTGACTGAAATAAACTGCTGAGGGGAGCAGTAGGTGAGACAGGAGAGGTCTGCTGCTCCATGTGAGTCACCTCCCTTGCCCGGGATCAAACTTGTGTTACAGTGGCTGCGGATAGCTTCATAGTTCTGCGTCTTAATCCCTGTGCCACCAGGGAGGCTGGAGCCATGTGGATTAGTTCTATCCAATAGAAAGTGAGTGGAACTAAGCCAGGCCCCTGAAAGAGCCCCATTCCTTAAACCCTCTCCCAAGTAATCACACATGCTTTTTATTCTCCTGTGGGAACAAAGTAACTTTGGGCACCGTTATGAAGACTGGAGAGCCAGAAGAGGGAAATAGTTCTGGTCCTGATCTCAGTGATCATGAACAACTATCTTAGACATTATGCAAATGAAACTTACATGAGTTTATGTCTTCATACCTTTTAGGGCTGGATTTTACAGAAAGTGGTACTACCTTAACTAATATAAAGAAGTGACCATAATTGTGCGTGCATGCGTGTGTGTGTGTGTGTGTGTGTATGTGTGAGAGAGAGAGAATAGTTAATATTTGTCACAATTATTTGCTCCTATGACCATATGAATGCATTTTTAAGTACATGCAAATAAGAAATTGTTTATATTTGTGTGACAGGATTAAAGAGAACTCAACCTATTTACTCTGAGTTTCCACATTTTCTATAAGGAACTTGCATTATTTTTATAATTAGAAAATATTAAGCTTATTAAATTTTAAAACAAGGAAAAAAGCATTCTCCTCCCTGAAATAAAAAAAAAAAAAGCTCCTTATACTTTAATGACTTGTGAGTAAATGTACATATCTTAAGAGCTTTTAAGAGCTTACTAATCACAGAAAGACTGGCCATACTTTCATTTACTCATCAAACATTTATTGAATAACAATTATTGTCCAGCACAAGACCAGGCACTCGAGATGTAATGATAAGATATTTATATTTTGACTGTCACAAAGAAGGCAAAATTTCTACCCTCTGCACTCCAATCTATTACGAGATATAGTTATATAAACAGATTATAGAATGGTATGATGAATACATCAGTGTAGGCTAGGGAGAACCTAGAGTAATTTACTGTTTTAGTTGTCAGGGGGGTTCTTAGTGGAGGACTGCTGAGCTGGGTTTTGAAGAATAAATGAGTTTGCTGAGTGGATAAGCAGGGAAGGCATTCCATGGTGCAAAAATTGTGGCACCATTGCAGACACCATACAAACAGCTTAGAATCTAGAAATGTAGCTCAAAAAGCTGTTCTCCACATCTCAGCAGGCAGATTTATGTAAATCAAGAGGATACCTTCCAGAACCCCCAGATTAATTATGTTTCGTAAAATTACACTTTGTTTCCCATCTTCTTTGTTCTGATTTGTCTTGTGAAATGTGGTCCTCATGCTAGGGTTACTAGCCTGCTGATATGAAGGTTACAAACCTTGCAGCCACCTCAAGTAACCGTTTTCTCAAAAATGTATTCAGCAGAAATACTGATACTAGGATCACTCTTAACACACACGCACACACACACACACACACACACACACATACTCTATCTCTCTCTCTCACTCTCTCTCCCCCTCTCTCTGTTAATGACACTCTTGGTTGATTTATTGATTGTCTGTAACACCACTGGCTTTTCTTGAAGCACTTGTGATCTTCCCAGTTGTAAGTGCCACCCCCAGTGGAAAGTTGCCCCAAACTGGGATGTTTTGATTACTGTTTGACTTCCCCAACTTGACTGGTCAGGACTGCACCTTCTCAGCTTCCCTGGAATAAGCTCCTTAAGCCTTTTCCCTCCAAAGCATCTGTAAACAGTTGAAGGTCATGATTGTTCACTCTGCAAGATCGATATGCCATTAAATTGTGACAAAAAGGACTGCCAGACCATTAAGACCTCCCTCATACTCTCAGTAATCCTGATAAAGTGATGAGCTGTTTTAACCTCTCTGGCTCCCATCGCTAACTACACAGAAAACTCCTAACTGCTGAGATAACCCTCTTCGCAAAGTCAGAATGACCCACAAATGACAGATGCTGATTTTGAGCTCCATCTCTTGTACATTTGTACATTTTTTACTGCTATTGTGAAGTCACTTTCTTTTAATTTTTTTTTTTTTTTTTGTCCACACAGGCTAAAATCAAGTGTTATTCTCAAAACTATTTTGACTCAAAACTATTTTGTTCTAGGGTGACTAGCTTTCTAAAAGCTTATCATGTAAATGAATAGACACATCTACCAAAGATTGAGAGACAAAAGTAGCATTCATGGAAACAGAAAATGGCACCTGGCTAGTTCACCCCAAACATGTGGGATTTACTTAAATTGGATCAATCTTAGACTTGCGGTAAATTCATAATAGTGAATTCTGTTGAATTTCTCTCTATTCTGTTTTTTTTTTTAGTAGTAAAAGGTGAGGAAAAAGTGGATTTTGATCACACAGGAGAAAAGGCAACTTTTGTGAACTAAAAATAATTTTAATGGATCTAAGCATTCTGGAAACTATTTTAAAATTAAATCTAGATTCAAAGTCTTGCTCGGCATTATATGGTGAGCTCATTTATTTTTAGAAGAATTTTAATTTCATCTAGTCAATGCTAAAATCTATTGCTACTATGAACTGATATCCAGTGTGTTTGAAAAGCCCATGGCTGTTTAGTCAGATAAAGTTGATCTCACCCTCCTTACTAATGCTAAAATTATCTAGTATCCGAAACACATTTTTACATGGTTTGTTATAACAAGTTCTTCCTCAGCCTTGCTGTCTTTTGTAAGCTAATGTAATCATAATTTAGAATTTGAACATAATGTCTAATGCATACACACACACACACTAATATACACAAATACAGATACAACAATACCACAGCCTTTTCTGAAGTACTTTTTAAAAATACATTATCTGGGTTGAAAGGTTGTTTGAAAAGTTAGGTGTTGAAGCTAAACTCTTTAAAATATTATTAAACCCACGAAAATCTGGAGACTATTGCCCCACATATGATTAATGAAATGCACCTCCATTTCAGGCTTTTTTAGAGGTTTATCAGCTATTTGTGCACAGGATTTTCTGGGCACAAATATCTGTTCACTTATTGTATTTTCTATTTTACTGATTTATAATCATGAGTTTGCAAGAAAACCTTCGCCTCAATTCGGGTCTGGCCCTAAACAGCTTATTATGTCAACAAAACATACCTTCAAATGAAAATCCAAACACTTGAAACCAGCAGGAGTTGTGGGTAGTAAACAGAAAGAAAACAGGCTTAATATCTGCTGAGCCCATTAGCTCTCACCTGCAGATCTTGCTTCAGCATATCAATAGAATAATCTGGGAGGGCACAAGAGCAAGAATAAAGCACCAGGTCAATGAAATCATTCACTGATCTACCAGCAAACCACAGTAAGTGGTGTGTTGGCTTAAAATCATTCACATGATCCTTAGCCATCATTGTATATATTCTGAAATGAGGAAAACAGACCTAATTAAATGACACCAAAAACTAGCAGATTTTTTTTCCGCTTTGTCTTCTTGAACCCTAAACTAATTTTGAATTTAGATTTTATGGTTTTGAATTAACTCTATAGATTCTGCAACATGAGGAAAGTTAAATGGCTAATAATGAGTTCATGAAACAGAAGATGTCTTATCCCTCCCTTAATACTTAATCATGTCTAGACTCATTTACAAGCTTCCAGCTCATGCTACTCATTAACATGGTAATTATGCATTTTGTACGTAAATTTCTGGGGCTACAATAATGAGCAATATTAGGCAGTTTGTGTACATTTTGGATGTTTCTATCTTCAAAATTTCCTTTAATATGTATGTGATAGCATCACCTTTTCCAACAACTTTAATCCTATGCAATGGACAAGACTCAAATGAGTTACCAATGATGGAATAAGGGTGAATCATTATGACAAAACAGAACAGATATTGCCAAAGCCACACCATAGAGTGATTTACTGGCTGATGATAAACTTTTGATCTTTCTCCCAATTACTTTGAGTCTGATTTCTCCATCAGCAATTTAACAACCTACCATTTGGTCTAAGCTACAGCTGTTATATATTCATATTGTACTTGGTGATTTTCATTGGAAGGCTGGTTGCCAAGCACATGTTAAGAAGCAAATTTATCTATCATTCTTACTCAAGGTGTCATAGCCCTGGTCATTTCATTCATAGGAACTGTCAATATCAGAAACCCCTCATCAGGAAAATACTTGCTCTTTGAATCTATTGGCTGATTTTTAGATTTATCCGAAGTAAAATTTACACAGGAGATGGAAAGATAAGAGAATGACAATGTGGACAGAACAGAGCAAGCATTTTGACACAACTGGACAGGCATAGTCAGCAGATAATCCCAATCTTAGCGGTACCAATTATTTATCCAACTATACTCTCCCCTCCATTGTTTGGAAAGGAAAAACTTGAAAATTCAAAACTCTGTATTTACATTCTCCTTGGGAGGTATGGAGGATTCTAAAAATCTGTTTGGCTGACTCCAGGAAATCAGCCTTTTTAGGTTGCATCATGTCCAGCTGTTTGCATTAAAGTCCATCCAATTTGATTTTCATTTGTCAAACTGATCCCTTTGATGTCCAAATTACTCTCTCTTTTGCATTTAGTCCTTAAGAGTTTCCAGCTGCTGTTGGCTCTGTAGTTGTGTTGAGGTCTTAAGACAGCCTTGGGTCATATTGTTCTGCTTTGCAGTTGTCTAAACTATGTCTAGGTGACCTCATTCATCTTGATGACCTAACTTGAGACACTTATCCAAGATGTCTTGGAGCTGTTGTTCTTGAAGATTCTCTTGCATTGTTCTCACCCTCTGGTAACCAGCTTTGGCTGTATCCACTCTTCACCGAGTGCACACAACTCATACCAACATCATCTGTTCATTTGGACAAAGAATATTTTCAATTCCTTTTGGAATTACTGATAGCCACCTGATTTACAATGCCTCTTTTTCTTCTTTAGAACAGATAACCTCTTAGTGTTGAATGAGTCACAAATTGGTTTGGGGATCCTAAGTAGGCCACAGAGTGTTGAATCACCATTTAAAGAGCTCTTCAGTGTCACAGTATTCAGTCCAATTCCTTGGGATGCTTTAAGAGAGAGACAGCTATTGTTATCTTTCCTTTATAAAGGAGAAAACCCTGTGGTGTCAGGTGGAGTGTCCAAAAGATGTTTCTTCTTGGCCAAACTTTTGGCTGCAGTGAATTCTGTTTGTAAAATTTTGTTTGCTTTTTTCTGATACTATTATCTGTCTGTGTACCTGTCATCTATTATCTGTCTGTGTACCTGTCATCTATCTATCTGTCTGTCTGTCTATCTCCCTCTTTCCCTCCCTGCTTTCCTCCCTCCCTCTCTATATTTGATCTCTAAAGGAAATACAAATTACTGACATTCTAATGCTACCAACAACTTGAAATTTGTTGTAGTCTATAGTCTCTGAGAATCAGTTACTTAATTTGTAAAAAGGAATGGATATTTCCATATTATAGTTATTTATAAGGTTTAAATGAAATAATAAGAGAAAATATCAGCCGTTTTGACTGGTGCCTAGTAGAGTTACAAGAAAAGACAGTTCTATATTCCTTTCTCTTAGTATTGAAGATGGTGCTAGAACAAAAAACTACTAGAAAAAAATAGCAATAGAATTACTGATTCATCATATCCTCTTCTGAGTTAGAAATCAACTGTTTGGAGAGTATGTCTCATTTTGTGGGAATTTTCTTTAAAAAATTTCCCCCAAATATAATGTATTAATTTGCTATTGCTATGATAAAAATTCCCACATATTTAGAAGTGGTAAGCAATGCAGATTTATTAGCTTAAAAGTTGTGGAGGTCAGAAGTCGAAAATGGCTGGCACAGCTGCATTTCTATTTGACACTCCAGAGGAGAATCTGTTTCCCTGTCTTTTCTAGTTTCTAGAGGCTGCCCACATTCCTTGTCTCAAGGTCTCATCAATCTCACTTCCATTGCCACCATCAAAGCTCCTTACCTGACTTTTCTACCTCCCTTGTTTTCTTATAATAGCCCTTGTGATTACACTGTGCCACTCACCTAACCCAGTAAAATCAAGAAAGTTAATTACAGCAAAGTCCCTTTTGCATATATATATATATTGCATATATATTTATATATATATATATATATATATATATATATATATATATATATACACACACAGGATGACAGGTTCTGGGGATAATAATACAGACTTATTTGAGAGACCATTATTCTAACTACCACAACTAATAACATTACAAAACTTTTTTGATTTTGAAGGTTAACTCTCCACCACTCCTTTGAATTGAAATCCATTTTTCATTCACTATTTCTATAATTTTGTTATTGATATTTTAAGTTGAAATCTAAGAAGGTAAATACTTTCTGACTTTTTAACATACAAATTATAAACAATGTCCTTTTTGATGCAACATTTTTTCTTACAGCCCTGTATCCTTTTCTATTTATAATGTTTAACTCCTGATCTTCTTTTGTGTTGGTCTTTTTCTGTCTGTCTTCCTTGCTTTCAAAATGTAGCTCCCAGAAAGCACACCTTAATTATCATGGTATGTTTGTCCAAGCCCATGCAAATTTACCAAGCAAATGTTCTTTAATAACTATATTATTCACCTTCTTTCCCTGAATTGTATTGTTGTTTAACATTAAGAAAAAACAAATTTCAAGTCACTTTTTCACTATTTTATTTTTCTCTATATTTTGATATTACTGAAAATGCATATCACTACCTAAAGCAGAAGCATAAGAGGTGAGCAGTCCCTCCAACATCTACTGTTCTTATTGTTACATGCATAGGATTTATTATTTAACAATCCAATCCAGTTGTAAGGATTTTACATATCATGACTTAATTCCAGAAACATGTAATATAGTTAGATGGAAAGAGAAAAGCACTCTTTATTTCTGAACTCTGTGTATTTTTGTGGATAATTTTTAAAGAGTTATTCACTCAAGTAGGTAGTAAAATAAAATTATTGAAATCAGTGACTTGATTTTGCAATCTTAAAGAAATGCAGCTCTAAAATCAAGTTTTATTTTGAGTCCCATTAAAATATGAATAAAGACAGATTGCAATTCTGGAAGGCATTTTACCCTTGAAGGTGGTAGATTTTAATGGGCACATTGTGTACAATGGTTTTGCTTTTAGAGAATAAACAGGATGAGTTAATAAAGGCACTAACATTTCATTTCCGATCAGGATGCTTCATTTTTAAGGACCTTGTGTTTTGAAGTTTTCTCAGCTAGCTTTATATGGTATTGACTAACTTCCCCTTTTTGCAGCCCTGGGTACATCGACTAACTACATGAATGGGCTTCATCAGTGTGGAACTTGTCTTCAGTGTTATTCTTTCTCTGGAGCCTGTGTTATTATGATGGTAGCGTCTCATATGAATTTGTATGGCTCTGCTCTGTCATTCCCAGTTCATTCAACAACTTTACTATAAGTGAGGTATTTTGGAAGGAGTTAAGGAGAATACCATTGTCTCTAAAAGTCTGAAAACCATCTATATGCACTAAGTTTAAGATTGGTTGGCTTCCAATCCATTTAAGTAGTGATAAGACTACTATTGGTAAACTAACTACAGGGAAATTGGGATAGCAGCTCGCCTGCCTGATTTCCTTCCTTCTTTCCTGCCTTCCATTTCTTTCTTTCTTTCCTGTCAATTTCTCTCCTTCCTTCCTTTCCCTTCCTTCTCTCTTTCCTTCTTCTTCTTTTCTTATCTCCTTCCTTCTCTCTCATTTTCCTTTCTTTTCTTCCTCTTTTTCTTCTTTCATTTCTTTGTTTTTCTTTTCTTTCTTCCTGACTTCTTGCCTTCTTTTCCTGTCTTCTTTCTCTCCTTTTAAACAAGACAGACTATAGGAAATGACACAATCCCTGTTTTTTCCTATACACACATATGATGGTAAATTCTGATTTGCTGCTCCCCACCTCTGTGTAATGGTGTACACACATTCAAGTAACATCCATGAAGTCAAGGGGCTGAGCCTTGACAGCCACTACAAAACTGAAGCACCAAGAGGATTGTTTTTCTCCAGAGTAGTCATCTTATAAGAATACATATTTCTAGTTAAGTACCTCCATTATTCCAACTGTTTGAAACTCCTCTTTTGAACTGACTTTGGAGATAGTTTCAGAAAACCTCACTTTAACACCTTAATATTTTACTCAAAACACATTCCTCAGGCTATCATTTACCTTATTTATCAGACTTGGGTCCAATATCTTTTGCTTATTTTCAAATGATAGCGCCAAAGATGAAGGTTTATTTATTTATTTATTTATTTATTT